TCATGTGCGGGTAAAAATCTCTCCAGCTCCTGTTCAACTAAAAATGGCCCAAAATAAATAAGTCTTACCTCTGTCAAAATTAAACTGCATTTGGCAAATATTTATTGATCACCAACTGTGTTCCAGAGCCTGTGCTGGGGATGCAGCGGCGGAAAGCCACAGTCCACGGCCCCCAATGCCACTCGGTACCCAGACACGAGGAAGGGGGCTCCCTGGATCACTGATGGGAAGGAGATGGTCCATTCTAAGGGGAAGTGAATTCCCCTTTTGTAAATTAATAAACTGGCATCTGGTTTACTGAGAACATCATGAGCTTGGTTAACGTAAGCCAATTCTTGATAATGAGCACTCTGGATTTCTGGACGTTTTCAGCCGAGGCCTGGGCTCGGGATCATGCCACAGGTGCAGGTGATTAAAATGATGGCGGTGGGACAGAGGAAGCTCGTGTGCGCCTTCTTGTTCTAACTTTCCATGGGGCACTGGCCATGGTTCTTGTTTGTAACACTGGTAATTCCTGTCCTTTCTTAAGAATTCTGAACCAGGTGTGTGTATGAGAGAGACAGAGACAGACAGACACACACACACACACACACAGAGGTGCAGAGGGACAGAAGCTACTGGGGAGGCAGAGCCACTAAGGGTATAATTTTTTTTACCTTGACGCTATTTCCATATATTGTAGTAATTGTGACATTGAGGGCCCCCAGCCTGGGTGGATAGTCAGCCTCACTCTGATATTTCTCTTTAGATGCAACAATCTGTACTGTGGATAATTTATTTAAAAATTTAAATAGATTTTAGAGGATTCCTGGAAGCAAGAAACTACAGCTCTTGCTATTAATCTCTTGACGCTGCTGAAATCAGCCTGGTTCTGGACAAGAGCCTTAACAAAGATTTTCTCTGTGGAAGGAGAGACCTGATAAGGGTCTGGGGGAAGGAACTAGCTGTTTCTGCCACAGCCATTATCTTTATGACTGTCATCCTTGCAAGGGGCACAACAGGAGGCAGACCACTCAAAGTTAGATGTCTAGACACTAGATTTTAATCATTAACTCCTTAAGGTTTTCCAGGACAAAATCTTCTGTTCTCCGTGGCCTATTCACCCTGGAGTGGTTTCACCCAAGTGCTCCACGGTCGTATATTCAAGCTTGATCAAGACCTTCTGCATCGAGAAGGTCTACCTTCTCTCTAAGGTATAATTTACATACCATAAACTTCACCCATTGTAAGTGAACAATTCATGAGTTTTAGTAAATTTATGGAGTGTGCAGCCGCCGCCACCACCATCGAGCTTTAGAACATTTCCATCACCCTAAAAGGATCCTTCACGCTCATTTGTAGTCAATCCCCCTCCCACCTCTAACCCCAGGTAATCATGGATATGCT